TTCTGACAAAGTGTTGTTATTCAAAATATTTTATTATTGCTCGCTAGTTGCTTATGCCATTGACAAGAGTTAATATAATTTCTAAGAATTATTGTTGACATGGTTAGTCATAAGCTGAAAACCTGGGTGCTACTTAAGCTTATTTATGTAAACAAGAACAAAAGAATTCGTACAATGTTTTCTTTTTCACTTTCAGTTTATCAACTGAATTGCTTGAGGACAAGCAAAGGTTTAAGTTTGGGGGAGTTGATACGTCTCCGTCGTATCTACTTTTCCTAACTCTTTTGCTCTTGTTTTGGACTCTAATTTACATGATTTGAATAAAACTAACCCAGACTAACGTTGTTTTCAGCAGAACTACCATGGTGTTGTTTTTATGTAGAAATAAAAGTTCTCAAAATGGAACAAACTTTTTGGAGAATTTATATACAATAAAATAAAAATACTGGAGCCAAGAACCACCGGAGGGGGGGCTCGGTGAGCACAACCCACCAGGGTGCGCCACCCTCCAGGCGCGCCCAGGTGGGTTGTGCCCACCTGGTGGCCCCGCAGACCCTATCTCCGAAGCTATAAAATCCTATTTTCGGAGAAAAATCAGGAAGAAAGAATTATCACATTTCACGAGACAGAGCCGCCGTCGCCTCCTGTTCTTCATCAGGAGGCTAGATCTGGAGCCCATTTGGGGCTCCGGAGAGGGGAATCTTCGATCTTCGTCATCACCAAGCCTTCTCCATCGCCAATTCCATGATGCTCCCCACCGGGAGTGAGTAATTCCTTCGTAGGCTCGTTGGTGGGTGAGGAGTTGGATGAGATTCATCATGTAATAAAGTTAGTTTTGTTAGGGCTTGATCCCTAGTATCCACTATGTTATGAGATTGATGTTGTTATGACCTTGTCATGCTTAATGCTTGTCACTTTGGGCCGGGGTGCCATGATTTCAGATATGAACTGTTTATGTTATATCCATGTTCTATATCCGATCTTGCAAGTCACATTCACCTATTACGTGTTATGATCCTTAAACCCCAATGTGAGAGTAATTGAGATACTTTCCGGTGATGACTGTAGTTTGAGGAGTTCATGTATTCACTATGTGCTAATGCTTTGTTCCGGCTCTCTGTTAAAAGAAGGCCCTGATATCCCTTAGTTTTCTTATGGACCCTGCTGTCACGGGAGGGTAGGACAAAGATGTCATACAAGTTCTTTCCATAAGCATGTATGACTATTTACGGAATACATGCCTACATTATATTTATGAACCGGGGCTAGTTTTGTATCGCCCTAGGTTATGACTATTATATGATGAATATCATCCAACGAATTCACCGATCCAATGCCTACGAATTTTTCACATATTGTTCTTGCTAAGTTACTACTCATGTTGCTACTGTTGCACTTGCTACAAAATCATTGCTATCGCTATTATCGTTACTACTACTGTTACTATTGCTATCAAAACTATCATATTACTGTGCTACTGATCACCTTGCTGCACATAATTAATCTCCAGGTGTGACTGAATAGACAACTCAGCTGCTAATACCTACAAATATTCTTTGGCTCCCCTTATGTTGAATTTATAAATTTGGATTGAATACTCTACCCTCGAAAACTGTTGCGATCCCATATACCTGTGGGTTATCATATCGCCAGCCCAACATGGGTGTTGCTCGCCCTGCGCTAGCGCCCTGTCTGGCCTCCGCGTGGCCTGCCACGCTACGCATGCCAGCCGGCTGTCCTGGGGTTTCCGTCGGAATTCCCTATTGGACGCAAGTTGCGTCAAAGAGTCGACCTTTCGCATAGAGACCTGGTGTTCGAGCGATGACTTGGGCCGGCCCATTAAAGCATTGCAGCGATTCCGGTTTTGGGAACCTTCTAGAGTTCCCCCGTCGGTTTTTCTGGTTTTGGGAACCTTCTAGAAGGTTCTCTGAACCAGTTTTTCTATTTCTTTTTCATTTTTCTTTTTTGTTTCTAGTTTTTTTGTTTATTTTCTTCTTTCTTCTTTCTTCTTTCCTTTTTCTTTTCTTTTCCTTTTGCTGTTTCTTTTTTCTTTTTGTTTATTTTTTTCATTTCTTCCAAAAAAAATTCAAGTTGATATTTATTTTTTAATTCAATTTTTTCAGATTTTGAAAAATGTTCCACCTTTTAAAATATGTTCACAAATTCAAAAAATGTACAGGACTTTCAAAAAAAGTTCATGTATTTCAGAATTTGTTCGCAAATAAAGAAATTGTTCATATTCCAAAAAAAACTTCTGGAATTGCAAAAAATGTTTGCAGTTGCAAAATTTGGTCTGAAATTTCAAATATGTTCATGTTTGAAAACCTGTTCAGGAATTTTAAAAAATGTTCGTGGTTTCAATTTTTTGTTGGATATCTCATGAAGTTCCATTTTCAAGTTTTTGTTCACAAATTCAAAAAATGTTTAGGACTTTCAAAAAATGTTCATGTATTCCAAAATTTGTTCATAAATTTAGAAAGTGTTCATATTTAAAAAAACTTTTGGAATTGCAAAAAAATGTTCGCGGTTGCAATATTTGGTCTAAATTTTTTAAAATGTGCGTGTTTGAAACTTGTTCGTGAATTTTAAAAAATGTTCGCGGTTTCAATTTTTTGTTAGATATTTCATGAAGTTCCATTTTCAAATTTTTCTTCAAAAATTAAAAAAAAATGTTCAAGATTTCCATTTTTATAATTTCATGAAATGTTCCATTTTTCAAATATTTGTTTAAACATCGAACAAAAAATGCGGTTTAAAATTTTGTTTGAAATTTCATAATTTGTTCATTACTTCAAAGAATGGTTCATGTTTTTCAAAAAAAAATCTGCGGTTTTCAAATTTTTTGTTCACATATGCAAAATAATGTTCCTGTCTACGAAAAATTGTTCAGAAATTCAAAAAATGTTCGTACTTTTTCAAAATATACACCTTCAGAAAAAATGCGCAATTTTTTTAAGATGTCCTCCTCTACAGTAACTAATTCTGGTTCAATACAGTAGACAGGTCCGATTGTATAGGTGTGCTAAGTTATTCCAGACGCGTGTTGTTCTACTACAAGCAATGCTTGTCAGTTGGAGTGGTTGGGAGCATGCGTTCGTAAGTCGTTGGTCACTGGTTTGAACCCTGCCATCGCGCCTGCCTCTTTGACGCAAAGAGCGTCCAATAGGAGCTCCCTTTGCTGCCGCCTGTACGTTACCGATCCGATCTTGACGGAAGTCGAACATATCGAGGATTTCCGATGTACGCTGCACTGACGACGTCTTCAGAACACTTCCGTCCGCTGCGACCACGTTGACAATAATCAGGACAGTGAATCTTCCTCCTCTAGACGAACTGTTCGGGGCCTGACTACGGGCTACCATACACCAGCCACCCGGGCGCCGGCTCCCCCTTTTTGGTTCGGTTCGGTTCGGTTCTCTCCGCGCGTGTCGTGCATGCTTTCTCCCTTAATTTTCTGACGATGATCGGCTCCGTGAGTGTGCGTGTCGACATGCAGGGGTGGAGGGCGTGGCCATGGAGGTCGACAAGGGATCCATGACTATCGTCGGCCGCTTCGATGCCAAGAAGCTTAGGACCGCGTTGCCTCGAAGACCAGGAACAAGGTCTAGCTCGTCGGCGGCAAAGATAACAAGGGTGGCGGTGGCGGTGGTGGGACAAGAACAAGTGCGCCGACGGCGAGGGCAAGCAGGTGCCGGACAAGAAGGAGGAGGAGAAAGAGCAGGACGACAAGTGCGGCGGCAATGTCGGGAAGGGGAAGGGCGGCAAGGACAACAAGAAGCCAGCCATGGTTTGTCCTTGAATACTATCTATTCTCTTCAGTCGACTCGCATCATGTCCCGCTCTCATCTGTTGCAGTATTTTGCTGATGAGATTGCTCTACTCGACCGATCGTTCGATTTGGTTCATGGCAGCCCGTGATCGTCACGGTGGTGCTCACCGCCGGTCTCCACTACGCCGGCTGCATGCACCGCATCCGCTGCAAGCTCTTCAAGATCAAAGGTATCCGCAGCTCCTCCTCCACTTGCCTCGTCCTGCATGCACGCTAGGTTCTCGACTGAATTCCCCGTCCGCGCGCATTCACATCGCCGAGCACGCAAACGCCACGGAGCGGGTCCGACCTGGTCCAGGGCGCGTTCGGCTCCCTCGTCTCGGCCACGGCTTCACCTGCGCGCTCAAGACCGACTCCTCCTCCATGGCCGTTGCTGAGGCCGTGTGGTAGCGCCGTGCAGGCGGCCTTCGCCAATGCCTATGTCTCGTCACTCGCCGCGGGGGGCTCCCGAGCGTGCGGCATGGTGTCTGCTTGTGCTCTGCTCCAGCTCGGGCGCGGGCGTGCTCCCATAGAGCGACCTCGACCCCCACAGGCTCGCCGTCGGCGACTCACACGCGTGCGGGCTCCGCGGCGCGACCACACCGCAGTGTGCTAGAGCCGAGGACAACCTTTTATTTCTCCCACTCCAGCAGCCAGCTGACAGGTGGGCCTTTGTGTGCAGGGATTTTTTGCAAAATGCGATGCCACGTCATCCACATTACGCTGAAGAAAAAGGCTAATCCACTATGCACTGCCTGAAAATAAAACTAATTTACAGTAGAATATATTACTCACCTTGGCGACATATTTTTATAGAAGAAACAACTTAAGTCCGAGACTTGAACCTAGGTGGGCTCGCTGCAGACTCGCACAGCTTACCAACAGAGCGACACTATGTTTTCCAAACATAGTTATAATAACTTGGAAATTCATCAGGGTTTCTCCGCACATACAAATAATGACTTGGAAATTCAGTAGGGTTTCAACAACATAACTAACTTGGCAATCCAGCAGGAGTTCAAGAAATAAAAACCCGGGAGATTCAGCAGACCACGACAGTACCAAAGGGAATGCCACTAGTGAGCATCCGACAGATTATTACTGCTGCACAGGATTACAGCAGCATACACACACATACAAATACTAAACGGAGGAGAGGCGAAAGCATCGCTCCAGGCACAACTGAAGGCCGTCACTCAGTCAGTGGCGACCCAGCGGCCGGTTTCTGTGGCCTGATCCAGTCGTGCAGCACCAAGGTGACCCTGTCGTGCTGCTTCACGGAGGAGCCATGCAGGAGCGGGGCGGCGCGGGCGAGGACGCGGTTGTAGTGGACGTACTCCTTCTGCCGGAACCTCTCCTGCTCGGGCAGCATCATCTCGTCCCACTCGGCGTGCAGCTTCTCCGACAGGCTCCAGTCGATGTTGTACCTGGTGGCGCCGAAGCACGTCTGGCTCAGGACACGCCTCGCCAGGGTCTGCAGGTCGGGCACGCGAGCCCCGTGCGTCAACCACCATTCAACTGCGATTTCAGGTCATAAACGTGGTAAGAAGATAGCAATTCATGTAGTATGATAGAACGGGTGAATGAAATGGCGATGATCTCAGTAGGTGTTTGGGTTTGAAAGTTGAAGTGCAAAACAGAAGAAGAGAAAGGCTCCTATACACCACATACTCCAGTTTGCAACATACTAACTAAATAACTATGTTGACAAGCTAGGCTAATTCAGTGAAGTTGATCATTCTACACATTCATCTGTAAACCTTTTATATTTTCTGCTATTTATTTAAACAGCCAGGATGACAAGTTAGGCTAATGCAGAGAAGTTGATCATTATAACATTCTGACTTTGAATACAAGTGCATTATGACATGATATGCTTGACATGCTAACTAAATATGCTGGCGCACTGTATGTTACGGTGCACAAATGCACATATGAGATTTTGTGGAGGACCTCAGAGATTATTCCAGCTCGATCTAAATATTGCAAAAAAGCAAGTACATATGACACATAAAGGCACTACCGTCAGTGGCTTGTTAAGGAGTGGGCATTTTGCAAGAGGTTAGGGTGTAGCTTACCTTGTGGTAATTCCATGATTTGCTGCATTGCTGGATCTGTGTCGAAATAGCCCAACTTCTTCTCATACACTTTCAATTGTGCAGACGCTTTTCTGGCATTGTAATGAGCCTTGCCCAGTTGGATTGTACAGGCCGCGATGCCGCTGCTGATCTCAGTATCAGGCTGGAATCCAGCTGTGTAAAAGATCCTTGGGTTTAGCATCTGACCAGCAGCATGGAGAGGAGTATGCAAGTAATCATCCCATATCCTGTCAATCATACACCAATAAGAGTCACTTTCATCTCCGATATTGAGAGATATCTCTTCTTTTGCTCTATCCATGGCTTCATACAAGATACCCATCGGACAGATATCATATTCCAGTTTATACAACACACTGACAAGTGGGTCTGTAACCTTGACAACTTCTGCAGCAGCATTCCAAAATTCATCATCTGTCTTTACTATGCTCTGGATACGCTTGAACAAGTCAAGACAAGCCCAACCAGAGGAAACCCATACAGGCGAGTTTAACATCTGCACCAGATCTACTCTTGCAGAAACTAACCTCTCTAATGTGATGAACATTGCCACAAATTTTAAATAAGAACTGCTCAAAATCTCCTCCTGAACATACCTTCCTTTCAGTTTCATTGGCAGTGCATGGTCATATAAAAACCATGTAATTTCCCTTGCCTTCATTAGGACTTCACTCACATGCTTGAGCGCTGCTATTTTCTCAAGCAGAAGGTTGATGCAATGGTCAGCACATAGTGTGAAGAAAAAACTATCATATTTATCTAGCACATACTGCCGTGCCATCTGCATATGGGGTGACACGTCATTCATGACAATCTGAACAATGTTATGAGCACCAACATCTTCAACCACGCGAGAAAGCATTGATTCTAGCTCATCAAAGTCCTCAGTGATTTCAGAGACGTCAATGGATCTGAGGAACAGCGTACCTTTGCTGCAGTGCACCAGGACACTTACGAAGCTTTTGGTACACTTGCTCTTCCAACTATGCACAATTACAGTGCAGCCACTTGTTTGCCACTCTTGCTTGAGTTCCTTTGTGCGGTTCTCAGTTTCTCTTAGTTGCTCCTGCAGAACAGCTTCGTACGTAGGCATTACAGCCCCGGGCCCATGGGAAAACACAACCATCTCCTTCAAAGATGATAAATGGAGAACACCAGGCTCAGGTGCAGCTTCGGAGAAGAACTTGCCTATTGACTTTGCTGACTGAGAATCGAAATAATCACTTGTCTCAACCTTGGGTTTCGGTTGACAAGAACTATACGTGATATCCTCGGCCTGCGTCAGATCCGGTTGATAATGAACAAAGCAGCAGTTGTTATTGGACACAGTTGGTTGTAGCTGTGGTTGCTGGACTTGAGGAGATGGAAGGGCTGGGTTTGTGTGAGGAACCTCATCATGTTTTTGCTTCAGTCTCTTCGTTTTTCCGAGCATCTGATCTTTCTTGCAATCCACAAGTGAACTCCTTAAGCTTGTCCTGACACTGTCCGGTACTAGGTTGCATGGACGAACATTGCCCTTGATGCCTGCTACATGTTGCTCTAGACGGTTGTAACTACAAACCACCTCACCGCAGTAATTGCAGCTGACTCTGCTGCCTTCTTCATCAATGGTTTTGCCATGCCTTTCTTTTCCATGATTACTTGTCTGAGGACCTTGTGCGGAAAAAACCTGAAGAAAAGCAATGAGAGATACTTCAGTAGTGCAAAAATTAAAATGTCAAATTCCCAAAACATGAGTGCAACATTTCACCAATGATGAGATTTCATCTGCTTCCTGTTAATGACAGCACATAATGTACTACTATTGATGAATTTACCACATGTGAACAGAGAAGACTGTGATCCGACTAAACACTGTATCTTAGAATTTTAAACATAGGGTCACTGGGTGAAACAGTTTGTTCTGTATTTTTTCTGATAAAGAACAGTTTGTCTGTATAACTCTTCAAGAAGAGCACAGAGAGGCATGGTCAACGGCTCATAGTATATTTACCAACAGACTGAAGGCAAGAGCTTCACAAATTACAAGTTCAGGGCAACAAATCTCTGGGCACCGATGCAATGAATTAACAGCAGCTTCAACAGGGCAGTCAACAATTGGCCATTTTCACCATGGTACACTCCAGAAACATGTAACTGTAACTAGATTAGACAGTTGTTCCTCACAAACAGACTAAAATTCGATGCTTACAATCCTGAAGGATTCAAATGAACCATACGAAATAGTTCGGTGCAAGTAAAAGGTTAACTATTTCGGTACTATCCCACAGGACAATTGGAGTAATATTTACCCTTTCAAAGATCAGTGATATGGTATAAACATAAGACTGCATGATGATCTTACAAAGCTAGTAACAATACCCCCTCTGGGACCAGTGGCGAGCAGCGACTCTTTTTTCCCGATACTAAAATCCGACAAAATCATAGCGCCTCCCCTCAAAGTTTTAGCAATTCCTTCGAATCGGCTTAAACGCCTTTCGAAATCCAACATGACGCTACCCAACTCCCAAAATCAGACAAAACCTAAAGCGGAGAGAGGGGGATTCTTCCCGGCAGGAAGCCCTGGACAGCATCGCGGGTCACAGCCCACTGCCTATTTCCCTCTCGCCGGCTTCATTCCAGAACAGAAGATCGTGAGGGATTTCAATTACTTACCATTTTTGTCCCCTCCGGCGCGAGAACAAGGAGGGGTTCGCAGCAGGCCGCCGCCGCGCTGCGCAGCACCTCGACCTGCCTCCGAGGCGCTGGGGGCGCCGTCGACGGAGTAGCCGGGGTTTGACGGCGATGAGCCCGATCTCGCGCCCCGCCTCCTCTCCTTTGCTGCGCTGCGCGTCGTGGTCTCTGCTGCGCTGCGCGTCGTGGTCTCTTCTGCGCTCTGGCTTTTGCTTTTATAATCAGCGGGGCGCTCACGGGTGGCAGAGAGGAGGGAGGAGGCGGCGAGGGCGAGGAGGGAACTCGGGTTTTTGGGAAGAGATGAAAAGGACTTTGACTGTTTGCCGTTTCTGAAACTGACGAGACGACGGGTTTCAATCGCTGGACATTCACTGGTGGGTGGGTGGGTGGGTTGGCAACAAATTTTGTTTTTCTCAATACATACGTATATATAGAACAAACAAAATGAATGAATCTATACTCTAAAATATGTCTATATACATCCGTATACGCATGCGCATCTTACTCGTATGAGCACCTAATTATTAGGAAAGTCACCTCCCACCGAACGCAAATCACCGGAAGGTTTGGAATAATTTCATGAAAATGCAAGCACCATTATCAAGTCTAAGACTTAAACTCTGTTGGACAGAGGATATTATTGTTCTCCTAATCATCCAACCACACGTTGGTTCGTGGAACAAATTTTGTTGGACAACAACATATCATTATTCGCGAACCAACCTGTGGTTGGATGGTTAGGTGGACAGTGGTATCTCCAGCCCATCATGGTTCAAATCCTAATGCTCGCTTCAGGATTTTTGACGATACACGTTCAATGGGAGGAGGCGTTCCCGTCGACTACGAGGTGTCTATGGTGACGTCGTAAAATCTCAAGATGATATGCCGGCTCAGTCTCTCAAAGGTGCTCATATGGATAGGGTGTGCATGTGTGCATTCATAGAGGTGAGTGTATGCGAGTATATATGAGGGCTTGTGTTGATGTTAAAAAACATTTTATTCTTTGCGAACCAACATGTGATTGGATGATTAGAGGTACAGTGGTATCTCCAGCGCATCAGGGTTCATGTCTTGGTGCTTGCATTATTTTTTAATTTATTTTAGTATTTCCAGCGATGCGCTTTCAGTGGGAGGAGACGTTCCCGTCGACGACGAGGAGCCTATGATGACTTCGTAAATCTCAAGATGATATGCCGCCTCAGTCTCTCGGAGGTGCTCATAGGGGTAGGATGTGTGTGTGCATTCATAAGGGTGAGTGTATACGCATGTATATGAGCGCTTGTGTCTGTGCTGATATTCAAAAAAATATTTCATTCTTCTTTACCATAATAATAATAATAATATGCTTTTAATACTTACATCAGCAAATATTCATGAAATCACGATTGCATTGAAATTAGGCAGGATATTAATTGCGCACATATATTAGGTAGGATATTATATACGCATTAATTGTATGACTAGCACTCATGTTGATACTTAGTATAATATTAATTAGGCGTTGAACACGTCAAACGCTCATTATTGGGCAATCTAGGTCGTTGATTGAACTGGTTTGATGGTTAAGATTGATTTGATACGTCCTTTTGGACCTTTTATATTGGTATATCTCAAGTACTTCAAAAGAACGTAAGATTTCCATTTCACCTATTTTTCATTCAACTTTTTTTATATACATCTCACTCTTTTCTTTTCCTCTTTGATTTTTTTCCTCCGATTTGTGATTTTTCTCCTATCAATTCTCCCTAAAAATAGAATCAATTGTCTCATGTTTTGTTAACTTACCATAAGAAAAACATATTTTGTTTGGTAAGCCATTAAATTCTTAAAAAATAAGTACTTAACAATAAAATATTTATCTTCTCTACTTATTTAAAAAGAGCGTAAGGTTCTCATTTGATCTCTTTTGGTCGAACTTTTCTTATATACGTCCCACTCTTTCCTTCTCTTTGATTTTTTCCTCCCATCTCTGTTTTTTCTCCCATCCATCATTCATAAAATAGAATCAATTGTCTCATGTTTTATTAACTTACCATAATAAAAACATATTTTGTTTGGTAAGTATTAAATTCTTAGCAAATAAGTGTTTAACAATAAAATAGCAGGTAAATCATGACGATTGCATAAAAACAATTGCTAGTAACTAGGCCAAAGATGATTGATTTCATGCCATTGGTGGATTGCATCGAAAGAAGAATGACAACAGGTTCCTCCTTCCTCAATCAGTGTGAAAGATTGCAGTTTCTAAACTCTGCTTTGTCCTCTATGCCCATATTCTATCTTCGCAGTTTGCTAGCCCCCCTAGAATTTTAACAACTCGAGAGAATCCAGAGACAATGTCTATGGAGAAAGCATAGAGATGAACCCTCTCCATCTTTAGCAGCATGGGACCTGATTTGTAGGCCTAAAAGCAAGGGGGGGGGGTAGGGATTTTGAACTTGGGGGTCCAGAATATTGCTCTGTTGCTCAAGCATATGCATAAGTTTTTGAACAAGATGGATCTGCCATGGGTATCTCTTGTTTGGAATACATATTATCATGGGAGGGTACCACAAGGTACTGCCAGCTGTGGATCTTTTTGGTGGAAAGATATATTTTGTTCTGACAAATGGAAGCTTGGTGATTATGTGACAACCTTGCAATCAAGGTTTCCAAGGCTATTTTCTTATGTGAAAGATCCATGGATAACTATAGCTGAAGCCTTTCAAGCACATGATATCTCAGATATGTTTCATTTACCTTTGTCTGAATAGGCATATCATGAATATATGGCAATTCAGGCAATGATGACCACTCACAACAGAGATTTGGATGCAAATGATATCTGGTACTAGCAGGGGACATGCAATGCTTTTAAACCTAAGATATTCTATTCCTTCATGCATTATACCTTGTCATTTAATCCTCTGCTGCTAAGGATCTAGAAATCATCATGCACAATGAAAATAAAAGTGTTTTCTTGGATGTTGATCATGGACGGGCTTAACACTAAAGATATGGTTGATAGGAGGCATTGGCATATGGATGATGGGGTTAATTGTGTTCTTTGTCCTTTGTTGACAAGGGAAACCAGATACCATCTTTTCTTCCACTGTAATTTCAGTGTGGGAGTCTGGAATTATCTTCAAATCTATTGGCCATAGGGAGATGATATGAGCAACATTGTGCTGCAAGCAAAACGAGATTTTGCAAAACCTTTCTTCACTAAGGTGGTTTTTGTTGCCTGCTGGAACATCTGGATAGTCAAAAATGCTAAGGTGTTCAGTCATGAAAGGCCTAGCTTTAATAAATGAAGAAGTTCTTTCATCCATGATATTACTCTCATGCGGCATAGAATCAAACATGTCTTTAGAGATGAGTTATTGAGATGGATTTCTTTTTTTGCCTCCTCGAGGTATTGTCTTGTAGTTCACTAGTTTTTTTAGTTCTCTAGTTTTTTACTTTACCACTTGATTACCTCTAGTAATCCATGTAATTTGTAACTCTTTTTGGCAATAAAGTTAAAGTGTTGGGGGGGGGGTTCCCTAAAGTTTACAGTCAAAAAATAATAATAGGCTGAATTAGAAGCTAGTAATAATAGGCTGAATTTTTCAGTGAATCCCAAGTGAGGTGGTTGTTGTGTTGGATAGATGTGCCCTTGATTGGTTACTTCATTCAACTTCATCAGCATAGACACATAATTCAAAATATCACCTTGGTATAATTCTAGTCACACATAATTCAAAAGATCACCTTGGTATAATTCTAGTCGAATATCTT